CCAAAAAGCAGATAGTTAATTGACGATGTCAATTCATGGCAGCTCGGCGCGGCACAGTAGCGCATCTCGCCGATCTAGCCAATCTCGCTGTGAGAAGCCTTGTTGAGTGCGCGGCGCGGCACAGTAACGCATCGCGCTACAAGCAGATAGTAGAAGGCAAAGCTTATGGTGATGATGGTATCTCACCTGAAGTGATGAAGAGGGTGGACATCGATGACGTCATCCTGAAGTTCTGCAACGATGCATTATGTGATGGTCTCATGCCCGATCAATGGAAGCTCAGTAATATTGTTCCTGTGCCAAAGAAAGGGGACCTCACTAAGAGTAAGACCGACAACTACAGAGGAATATCTCTGACATCGATAGTCAGTAAAACTCTGAACAAAATGTTGCTGAACAGGATGAAGCCAAGTCTTGAGGAAGTTTTAAGGGACAACCAGAATGGCTTTAGACCTGGGCGCTCTACAACATCGCAGATCCTTGCTCTACGAAGAATTATGGAGGGTGCTAGAGCTAAAAATCTTAAGGCCACCATGGTTTTCATAGATTTCAAAAAGGCGTTCGATAGTGTGCATAGAGGTTTGCTCATGAAGATATTGAAAGCATATGGCATACCAGAAGCCATAGTGCGGCTCATTGAGGGTATCTATACGAGCACAAAGGCTAAAGTAGTTACAGCCGATGGTATAACAGAAATTTTTGATATCCTGGCTGGAGTACTGCAAGGAGACACTCTTGCCCCGTACTTGTTCATTATCGTGATCGACTATATATCATGACAGTGTCTATAGACGATGATGACTCGGACTCTGGGTTCACTCTCAGGCCTGCACGGAGTAGAAGGATTGGTGCCGACAGCCGAGAAGATCGCAGACGTCGAGTTTGCAGATGATGTTGCCCTTATCACTGATACCATTGAAGGGGCAAAACTATTCCTAGACAGGCTTGAGAAAGCAGCACTGAGTGTTGGGCTAGCCATGAACGGCACTAAAACTAAGTTCATGACTCTGAACATGACAAAAGAGGCGAGTAGTCTTAATAGCTGTTCTGGAAACCAGCTGGAAAAGGTGACAGACTTTGTTTACCTTGGAGCTTGGATATCAACAACAGAGAGGGACCTGCGGATCAGAAAAGCTAAGGCTTGGGCAGCCTGCCACAAGCTAAAGAAGATGTGGAAGTCTGACCTTAGAAGAGGACTGAAGATCCGTCTATTTGTTGCTACTGTGGAGTCAATACTTCTTTATGGTTCTGAAACGTTGACGTTGACAGAGCAACTGAAGAAACGCATTGATGGCTGCTACACTAGAATGCTAAGGATGGCACTTAATGTGGATTGGAAGCAGCGAAAAACCAACAAAGAAGTCTATGGCAACCTACCGAGAGCAACCATGAAGATCCAAAAGCGCAGGATGCGACTAGCAGGCCATATCCACCGGCACCCAGAACTAGTCGCAAACCGCTTGCTACTCTGGGAACCAACTCATGGGGTGCGGAGTAGGGGGAGACCAGCCATGACCTATGTTGATAGCCTACGAGCTGACACGGGTCTCAACGACACGGGAGTCAAGTGAGTCAATTTTCAATTTTAGCTTTTAGCGGTTTTGCAGGTTATATATAAAAGTTGTGACGACTTTTCAATTTAATTGAGCATTGCCTCAAATATAATAAAACGTCAATGATGAATGAATTAATAATAATTTCATTACTCTAAATATTGTCTAGATATTCATTTCAATTTCAGATTCGCAGTAAACCACTTAGCATTTGTATCGTTTTTAGCTTGTTATCAGCAGTTGTTATCTGCAAGTGTTACACACCACGCTAACCTGATGAATTTCTCTGTGGACTTACTACACACAGTGGAAAAGGATATGCAATCGGAGATTGGAAAGCTCATGAAAGCCGTGAATGTCTCGTCCTTCTCTGATATCAACCAGGGTGTTCTACAAAAACTGCTTAAGGGTCCGCTTGTAAATTTCCTCAGCAGCATAGTAAATTTAATGGACAGCAATATGAAGCTATGCAGGTCTGCAGCCAGCAAGATAGATCAGATGAAAACAGAACAGATAGACATGCAAAAGCAGCTGATAAACAGACAGCAGAATCAGATCGAATCGGTGAAGAAAACTGTAAAGAATGAAATGAAAAGTTGGGCAGATGTCGTCAAGAAGAACAGCGTCCTAAACAATCAGCTGACAACAAAAACTGTGAAAGAAGCCGTGCGATCAGTGAATAAAGAAGAAGAAAGATCGAGAAACTTGATTATCTACGGTTTGAAAGAGACGGAAGAAGGGGAGTGGGAGGACGTATTAGAGATGGACCCTCTCCCGGACTTTTTCAAGTCAGTTTTTGCTGAGGCCGGCTGTCATTTTCCTGACACGGATGAGATATGCAGGATTGGGAAGAAAGTTCCTGAGAAAACGCGACCAGTCAAAGGTCAGTTACAAAGCTCTAGCGATGTGGACATTATACTAAGGAATGCACACAAACTTAAAACAAATGATGATTTAAGTCAGTTTATCTTGCACTGGATAGGACAAGGGAGCAGAGAATACTACACAGTGGACTTGTCAAACAGATGAAAGAACTTATAAAGCAGGACAATAGCAAGCGTTATTTTATCAGAGACAATAAAGTTAATTGTGTTAGTGAGAGCTAGAGCCTTATCTACAAGTACACTGACTTGTTATCAGAATTTATGAACTTTAATATGTTATGTTCACTTTCGTTATCTACGTGGTGATACAGTGTAGTTTTTACATAGTATGTATTTATAATTTGGTGTAAGTGGTGGCCGTTGTATTCTATAAACCGTTTTTAACGAGTTTTTTTACGATGCAGTATTTTGTGAGGAGATTTAAGCAGCATGAACTGAGGCTCATATTTTATTATTTAAGCTGCTCTACGAGCACACACGCTAGCTAGCTGGTTTTTAGATAGTTAAGAGTATTAGTTACTTAGTTAGTTAGTGTAAATTAGTATCAGTCAGGATCTGTTAGCACACAGAACTGTTAGTTTTCGCGAAGCAGGTCTGACTTTCATATATATTCTTATAGTAGACTTCATCATATAAATTTATTTTGAACTTAGTAGCAATTTCAGGGAATAAATAGAAATTTAAGATTTCATTTCTATTCTAATATTCACGTATATTAAATACAATTATATTGTTATGTATCATATGATTTTGTAAACATTGGCCGGTGTACCAAAAACCGGTCCCCAAACAAACAGATTTCAAAACTTCATCTTTAAGTTCTAAACTGTTTTGCAATTTTATGTAGATGCGATATCAATAATAATATTACTTTCTGCCTCTTTACGTTCATTACTCTTCCCTGAAATTGAATTGAATGATCATGCAAATTGGCTATTTAAAAAAAATATATGAATGGGTTATGTTTTATATAAGCTCAGCTACCGCAACCGTACGATCTGCAGTTCAGTAATTTGGTAATTACTAAAGTACAAGCAATTGCCTCACTCTTCGCTGCATGAACAATTGAAATCAAAGTTCAAACAGTATCTAAAAAAGAAATACCTGGAACAAATGTAAATATAGCTCTTTCCGTTGATTCAATCAGCCCTTTAATCAGCCGAAATGAGAATCGAGCTAGGAATAAAGTCCCTCGTTCCTTATTTTCTGTCATCTCATTCTCTTTGAGGAAGTTATAGTTTCTTCTGAGGAAGCCTTCTAATGTATTCTTTATCAACCTCCTAATCACGACCAGGGATGAACATCGGGTGGTTCTTGTGATGCGCACCCTTGGGCCATAAGGGTTTCTACTCTTTACCTGTCACCAGCCACAGCATGATGGTGTACTCTTGTGCGTGGTCTTCTCGGGTGAGCAGCCCTGGGTCGTGGAGGCTTCTGTCCGTGAAGACAGCCCCAAGCGTTTCTGTTGCGTTTCTGTTGGCTCATTGGGTTTTGAGGCCTACCTGTATTTACAGTTGTCTTTAATGGTGTACGAAGACGCTCCAAAACCATTTTTCTGTGTTTACGAATTGATAGTAAAAGAAGAAACATAAACAGCGCCAACAGTTATTGCGAGGCTTCGAAATCGTACACGTGCTGTATTGTTTTCTTGACAAAGTGTTTTGGTCGTCTTTATAACAGCTCTTGGAAGACACATGAACCAATAATGGTTAGCGTATTATAACTTGATAACAAATCTTTTTGTTTCATTTGGTCCTTTGCTTGCTGATCTTTCGTGCTGTCACTTTTACTGCTTTCATTTGTTTTAGTTAACACTTATACTAATTTGTGTCACTCTTCTGAAAGTTTTTTCTGGTTCGCGTGGTCTCTTCGGGTGAGCAGCCCTAGGCGGTGGTGGCTTTTTATCGAAAATAATCATTGAGTTTTTATGGTTTCTTTTTGACTACTTCTCCTTTGGAATCGCTGACTGCACCCAGTAGCAAATTCTGTCTGCAATGGTTTACTTATTAGTTGTTGTTAGAAATGCTTACTAACGTATCATTACTTATAGACAACAGTTCAATGACAATACTGCAGCAGGACAAGATTAAACTCAAACAAACTAATAGATTGTTGTAAATTAAGCTAATTATTATATAATTATAAATATTGAAAGTGGTAGGCAATAAAACATAGTCCTCTAATCTATTTGCTATTGGCCTCCAACTTTACAAAATATTTACCTCAGGCAGTCCGCAGTTGTCAGGTCCCTCTGACGTAATTGTTGAGACCGTCGCATCTGACATAGTTGGCTATAATTCCTGTAATTGGCTGGTTACACAATTGTGTAACAATGTGGCTGTTGGAATGGCCGAAGTAAAATAAGTGTCGAGATTTTAAAAAAAGTATTATATCCAGATTGCTACATTTCATTCAATCGTCGGACATCCTGAGCTACTTGCCAGTGATTTAGTCTTATGGGAACCTACGCACTGTAGAGCACAGCAAGGCCGACCAAGACAAAGCTACTTGTCTAAGTTACTGAAGGAAGTTGGGACAAACTCTAAAGAGGAACTGCGAACCCTGATGCGGGACAGGGATATATGGAGTGGGTTATCTGGCGTAGATCGGACTTAGCTCCGACATAGTAGAAGTAGTCATTCAATCGTGAAACTATTACAAGAAAATTAAAAACGAGACCATGCATTTTCGCCTAACTTGCAACATTTTTTGCTTTTCTGGTTGATAATACAAAATGCATCAAGGACTTTTCTGATTTGCTTTTATAGCAAAATTAATCTGGTAATAATGGGTAATTCTTTATAAAGGAATTACCCATTAAAATTTCAAGTACTCAATCGCTTAATAGGAGATTTCGTGTTCGATCCAAATTCTGAGACTGCTGTCGAGTTTGATTTCCTGGTTTCAAAATTCCTTCTTTTCGAATTAATTTTTCAGGAATTTAACAGTAGAGCCCGGATTGATGTGATCACCCTTGTGACCGCTCGTCTCACACCATTGAAAGGTCTTTTGAATGGAAAGATAATAGTTCGTCCTACATTGCATGCTCTGTCGCGAGTTTTGTTTCTTTTGACACTCTGGGATGGTTTTGATGTTGCTTTTCGAATTTTGGTGTTAGGTTCTTCTCCCAATTCTGGTTCAGAATCAGTATCACTAATACCTCCCGGGAGCAAAGCATGTCTGCAATGTTTCATTTATTAGTATAATGTTATTTCAATTGTTAAGTTAAGTTATTAATGAATGATAATTCAATACGGCAAACAAAATAAAAAATTATAATAATATGATCAAAATTCAGCTTATTGATCAGTCAAAATTACTTTTAGTGTTACGATAATTGGCTCTCAAATTATGTATGGATCTTTCATGGGATTTCAAATAATTCACCCTAGACAGTTGATAGGCCTTTCTGACGTTGCTGAAATTGTTACATCTGACATTCTCGAGTCTGGGTTTAAAGTCATCAGATCCTCCAGTTCTTTAATGATACCTCCTTCGTCAGAATTAGGAGATATTTGTTTATCAACTTTGTTTTCGGCGACCTTTTGTGTTTCATTGGAGCTTACTCGAGTACCACGGATCACCAATGGTTGTTCCGGTGTTCTAGAGTTTTCTGGTGGTCCTGAAATAGGTCAGACAGTAATTTAAAGTCCGTGTGTACAGTACACAATCTAATCTAGGAGTAGGATGCCCATAATTAATTTCACGAGGAAGATAAATACTTATTATACGTTTGAACCTGGAACAAATGTAAATATCGCTCGTTCACTCATCCTTGAAGGTTCAGCAGGTTTTATCAACTGGTTGACAAGTTTGGACGATGCCGCTGTTGCTTCTGACAAAGCCTCAAATTCGTCGTCACTGTCATGATCTGCTAGGCCAGGGATGAACATCGGGTGGTTCTTATGGTGGGCTCCCTTAGGTCTTCCAACTTTGCGTCTAAACGAACGATCCTGAACATGTACTTGTTGAAGCGAAAACTGGTGTTTGCTGATGAGATCTGTGTCGGATCTGATCGTCCTAAACTCTGAGACCAGCTTTCGTAACTTGGTTGGTTTGCTTTTTTTCTTTGGCATTTTAAGCTCATAATTATGCACCTCAATGGATTCCTCGGTATTTTGAAATTTCGGGACGCTCAAAATATACTCGGTCTTCCACAGTGATATAGCCGTCTGAGGACCATAACATATAGTGTTTTCTACTTCATCTGAAAGGTTTGGATGTTTTATCTGATTTTTTCTATGGGCGGCTCTAGGTCGAGGCGGTTTGCGGTCAGTAAACGCTATCCTGACCGGTGGGGCTTCGAACTGCATAACGGGGCTATTAACCGGGGCTTTTAATTCGAATCCTGCAGTGGTGGCCATGTTATTGAAATTGTTGAGTCCCCCATGTTCGGATGATCGTGGATTGACAGTTGTATGTTGAAAATGATCCCGGCGACTATCGTTCTCCGGAAGATTGTTATTAATAACTTGCACTTTCGTTGTGCTTGTACTCCTGACAGGTCTAAGCAGACGTTCTAAAACTAGTTGTGGGTCTAAGAGTCGGTATCCCATAATATTGTATAGTTCGAAATACAATGCATGTACGATAAAAGTATTAGTGACTAAAGTTGCACGAGCTGACTGCAAAGCGTTCCGCAAAGCGTTTTGACTGCTACTGTTGCCTTTTAACTTTCGCACTCCTTTATCAACATTTCTATACTCGCCAAGATTAACATATCAGGGAGCCGTCAGCTGCAATGAAAGTTTTTCTGTGAAAGCTGAAGTTTTGAGCACGACATTATCATGCTGCAAACAGAGTAGAGTTTGTGTCAAAATATTTACTACAGACATGCCAAAGGCCAAAGGGTGTGGGCTTTGAATTCGAAAAATTTTCGAAACTCGTACTTACACTCACTGCTGACAATATCACGTGACGTGCACTCAAACTCGCGCGCGACCAGAAGTGTCGAATATGCGTCATATCCACAATTACAGTAGAATTAGAACATGTGAATTGTGAAATACCAACTGTATGTCGGCAACAGAACCTCTCCATATTTGGGTTTAGTAGGCTTGGTCAGAAATTGTTCGGTCGATGCTCTAAGTGAAGGATGAACGAGATTTCATGGTTCTCCACCAAAACCTGATAAGACTGATGTACAGGTTGAAAAACTTAATATTATACTTTGGTTATTAGCCACTTTTTTATAGGTATAATTTAACAACATAGAAAATTATTTGTTTGATATATTGGTCATTCATTCATCATGCTGGTCTTGACTACGGGCGGAACGACAATAATTGAATTATATCTATCTGCATTTTGGCATGTTTATCTCCATCAAAGACAAGTTTTGTTTGAAATTAACAAGTTCAAAGTTGTATCCATTGTCAATTATTACACTATCTATAACAATTATTACACGGTATATTAAATATTTCCGTGATAATATTTATGGAAAGGAGAAGATATCAATCCCATGTACGACTGTCTCACTTGATTTCGTGTACGTTACGAATTTAAAGGAGGGATTCGAAAGTTTCTACCTTTGTATCAACACTAGGAAAATGAATGTCTTCAAAGTAATTCAATTTGTTGTTACTTTGATTTTCTGCTCTGTTGTTAATGATACGAGGAAATGGTTACTGTCTGTTATCTTGCCCTTGACCCTCAGAATTCAGACTCAACTTGCTGTCCTAAAGAAATTGTCATGTTGGTTTGCCCTAAAAATGTCACTATTTCAGCCCTACGTTTTGATCCTGCATAACGGACTTCTCTTCTTATAATGAATAGAATTCAACAGCGCAGACGTGCAGTGCTCATTTCGAATTGTCGCGGACTTCGGGGTGAAATCAGAATTCTTTTATTTTTTAATCGTTCAAAATTGTTGGGGATATTATACGGTTATTTAAAGAAAGAGAGCTATTTAGAAAAAAAACTAACAAACATTTTAGTAACATTTTGAAAGACTGATTTATGATTGAACAAAAATTTCATTCCACAAGTTATATTTAGGGTTTCATTTCGTACCCTGGAGTTTTTTCCTCGTACTTCTAAGAGATTGGAAGTCAAAATGAAACTCATCATATCAACAACAAATGCTGGAGAATAAAATTACAAAATGAAAACATCTTAGATTTGGCATAGCTAAGCTATTCGAGTAAGATAAAATAATAACTTTCATAAATGAACATCTTTTTCAGAAAATCGTTTGTAAAAGCGAAATAGGATCCGAGGATAATGTGTTAGATGATACTATGTTACGGTTCATTAAATATTCCTAGTCTTGCCCAACCACCATTCAAAACGCAATACATCTATGTAAAATGCTATGTAACAATAGGGTTAAACTATTTACAAATAACAGTTTACAGTCTCTGACTAATCTTCATAAAACGGTCGTCTTTACATCTTCTTCTTCTTCTTGATTCCACCACGGGTTTTCTTGTTTCGCTGGTCGATGATCTGCTGAGCTTGTTTCTTGATGTTTGCTCGAGTTGGTGCCTCATCATCAGGATCGCTCTCTTCTTCATCTGTTGTGTTTTACATTTTAATGGAGATGCCATTTTTAAATCGGTTATACCAGAATCTTGCTTTTGTCCACAGTATTATTAGTTTTTGAAATGAAATCAGTGAACATCATGCTGAACTTACCATCGTATGCACCCCTGTCAGACGCAGCAGGCAGGCTAATACGGACGTTGTATGTTGGTAGTTTGTTCTCAATCGATACTCTGAACTGCAATAGACAAATCGGTTAGCTAGGATATTTACTAAAATGTTTCAATTTATTTCAAACTCTACTCGGTTAACACATAACGAATTGTTCAAGAGCTTACTTCTTCATCCTCCATACCACTGTAAAGTTCCGAAACGTCTTTGCCGTCCAAATCCTCCATCAGCTTCATGAGTTTTTGTTCGCATTGAGCCAGTAAATCGATCACATAATCGTCGGCAGTAGATTGAGTCAGGCGAACTGGGCCTTGTCCCTTGGGCTGAAACGAATCTAATTCACGAAATTGTTTGATGATTTTTCCTAATAGCCAATACTTATAGTTCGGAGTTCGCGTTGCCAGAGAGAAATTTCTCTAGGTATATTTTATTCGCAAAAACATCGCGCGCGTTTAGTTGCAGTCTCTATGGAAACCCCGAGATTCAGCGCAAAAATTGAAAACTTTATTGATAAAATTTGCATCGCGCGCTCCATTTCCGTAATGCAAAAGCAAGAGCCATTTTTTGTGACATTACAAATAACGATTACGTGAAAACGCTTTTATTGTGGGTAAGATAATTTCAAGTTTTAACCAGAGTACATGCCTCTTGACCAGAAAAAAATGTTGTGGATATTATGGAATTAAGCCTAGGTTCTCCTACAAGTCTTGAAATTATGTCTTCTGAGTTCGGACAACGGATTTTAACAAAACCTCCTTTTTCGGACCTGATACAAAGTACGCACACGTAGAGTTTGAAACTTTCACAATCGTCAGGTAATGTTACAACACTTCATTATGAGAGGGTATATGACACCTAATGTTTTGTTTAAACCCACTATTCCGGACAGTACTAGGAACAACGCAGACCAATGTAAAGTAAACCTCTCAAATTAGGTTAGAAAAAGTCCTTTTATCTACATTGAGCTATGAAACTGCTAGTGCGGCTGAGTGTTTGCTTATCTAGTTGAGTATTAACAATGTGCAGAATGTTCAAAACTAATATCAGATGGGCAAGATCAGATATCAATATCAGGTAGGGAATTTAACCCATATATTTCATGAATGTGTCAATTGAGTACTTGACTAGTACGATCATAACTTATTGAAACCATCTATTCTATATCAATGTTGCGATAGAAATGATCTGGTCGCTATGGTATTTAAGAATCTACTCTTCTACCAATTTCTTGGGTGTTGCAGCTGACTTTATTCTCTATATTTCGCAACTGACTTTATTCTCTATATTTCGCAATAGTCCCGTTCTAATTTTGGCTGTAACGTAATAAACAAAGGGCATACAAAAAACATCCGCCATTTGATTATCTGTTTAGTTGGAGTGCGTTTTTACTTTCTTTGAAACTCAATAACAGCCTCATAAACAAAAGGGGACGTCTTAAGTCTTTCGGATAATATGAACCGCATTGTTTTTTACATCTCACCTCTAACAAAGTAACCCCATTAGTTCCCTAATATGACTGGAGAAACTAACAGCACAACAGCAGATTGCCTCGGTGAAGGAGAAAAAGGCTGCTGGATAGTGTACCATGTAATAATAGCACTACTCTCACTTACCGGAGACTCTGTAATCCTGATAGGAACCACTAGATACAAAGCAATTAATCTGCACCGTGTGCTAATCGTAACAATCCAACACCTTGCAGTCAGTGACCTCCTACTCACCGTGTTTAGAGTGACCCCACAGATAGTATCTCTAGTAGCTCAGAGGAATGTTTTCAGCACATTCCTCTGTCTCCTAAACCTCAACATGACCTTTATCTGTACAACCGCCGTCTTCACCTGTGTCCTGACTACCTTCAAGTTGCTGATTGTTCAGCGTCCTCTGAGAACTGAGATTTGGTCTAGAAAGAGAGCACATGTTATATGTGGTCTGGTATGGCTGGTATGTGTCTTGCAGCCCTATCAAGTGACTCATTTGTTCCTCAGTACCAGGAAATCGCTTTACTTTGACAAGGTCTATTATTTCTGTAATGTTGATCGTTTTGCAACCTTAACCCCTGTTTGGTTTATTTGGTTTCAAATAATTTTCACATATTTTGCGTTTCTAGCGATGTTTGTGATCCTCCTAACAACGTCGTCCCTTCTGCTGCATCAGGCAAAGCAGTCAGCTGACAGACATGCAGGCTCTCTCCAATGGCGTGGAATCTTAATATATATATAATATAACTGTAACCCTAACAACTGCAGTTTTCCTGGTTTCTTACCTGCCTAACTTGGTTGTTTCCTTTACAGGCCGACTGGTTCATCTCAGCAATTCTCTTAAACGTGGAGCTTTATTCTTTGAGAACATCAACATCGTGGCTAATTTCTTCGTGTATTCTCTGACTGTAAGGAGTTTCCGAGAGTTCCTCTCCGCAAGAGCCCGACATCTTGCGCTACAGTTGGGGTTAGCTACACCTACAACATTCCGCACCCTCCGTCAGCTACAATTGACGCAGCAAAGATCACAGAGAAACCTCGTTCGGGAGACTACTCTTTAAAGACAAATAGATATCGTTATGGAGAGAATTACTCGCTAAAAAAAGGAAAAAATTAAATATATGAATCTACGAACTTAAACTGTGTGTTGTTAACTACGAAAAATTATTTAATACTTCGGACTGACTAGACTCTCGGTTCAATTCTTATATTTACTACAATTGGTTTTTTACTGAGTAAAGCTTTTGCCATAGCTTTCACTAATCACAGACAGAGAGACAGCTGCATGCTGGCCACCAATATGATACAGCTTTGGAGATTAAATAACTTCCTCAATCCTTATTTGTCGTACATCTGACATTATCTGAATTTGCAATAACCGACATGACAACTTGTAAGGTAATAAATATTAATTTTTTATTAAACGTACATAAGTAATAATTATTTCCTAGATGGTAACCATAGTCTCTCTAAGTATCGTCTAGTTTGGTTTAAAACGCTCATATTTTGGTTTATTCATATCTGCAAACAGACGGCTGTTTCCAGATGAGTGCAAGTGCTTTAGTTAAATCCGTCACGCTTTATTTGGTTGTTTTATATCTCCTTACCTAAATAGATAGTAGCGGTACCTGCCTGGTGACACACCAGTAATTAAGCTGTATACCTACATTCAGAAGCTTTATAATTTGAGAAATTATTTACCAGGACTACCAATGGAACTGGCAGTCCTGGTAACCACTGGTAGTCTTGGTAACCACTGGTAGTCCTGGTAACCACTGGTAGTCCTGGTAACCACTGGTAGTCCTGGTAACCACTGGTAGTCCTGGTAACCACTGGTAGTCCTGGTAACCACTGGTAGTCCTGGTAACCACTGGTAGTCCTGGTAACCACTGGTAGTCCTGGTAACCACTGGTAGTCCTGGTAACCACTGGTAGTCCTGGTAACCACTGGTAGTCCTGGTAACCAGTGCAGTGAGATCGTCAGATACTCTGGGCTTTTCGGTCAGCTGTTTACCACAAATAAAGTATGATCTGGACCAGTGCTGCCAACTCTAATAGTATCGGTCCACCAATTAGAATATGCTCTAAAAACATGCCCCATATTAGAATGTACGTCACAACTCGCACCCCATCTGCACGTGCATGTGCACGTGCTACTGCTATATATTTGTACTATATTTAGGCTACCTAGCAGCCGCTATTAATTTTATAGGTAAGTAAACCGAGTTATTTGTACGAGAGCGAGGTAATTATAAACATGTGCGCCCTGGGAACTAAAGCCCTGATTCCTGAACGTATGTGCACTGGCTCACTGATTGTAGCGACTACTTTTAACTATAATACTATAGCGTTCCTTCTTGATGAGGTTTCATTTCTATTATTCCCATTATAGCAGGTCGTGTAAATTATTAATTCAGTTGTTTTTCAAGGTTAAATAAGCAACGATTATACTATGATGATATTGTACGTTTACAACTGTGATGTCATTTTAATGAAGAATAATGTAAAACTCTGGATTATTTTCAGGATGAGCAAAAAGTTCGTGTACACTTTGGAGTTTTCAGATGTGTTCCAGTTTGTTTGGAAACCAATGTGTTTTATTCTAGGTATATTTGGAAATGTTTTTGTCCTGTATGCGACCATTAGGAATAATGCCATAAAGCTGGACAAAATGTCAATCTGGATAATCAAAAACCTAGCAGTAGCGGATATTTGTAACTGTGTCTTCGTTCTGATGCCTATGATCCTCATTCAATATGGGAAACTGCTCCATATTCAAGTCTTTGGGAGCACCTTCTACGACGTATTTGGATGCTACCTGTTTACGTTCTTCGTAATGAATCTTTTTCTTGTGAATGTCTTGTCGTTCAACAAATTGATAAGATGTGTATTTCCTTTGAGAAACTTGGATTCAACAAGAAGTCAAAGAATCAGCGTAACCATGTCCACGGTTATGGTCAGCGTAGTACCAGGACTCTGGATTGCGTACGGACTTCAAGATGGTTTCTTACACATCAGTCAACACTGGTATCTTGAGAAAGATTATCTTGGATCTGTAGAGTTAGGCAATGCGTATGTTAGATATGAACGGACCTGATAAAATAGGTGAAACAAGGGAGATTATTCATTTTTTCCATTATCGGTATCTTTAATGCACTACCTTGTGTTACATTAGTTGTTTTAAACACTGTTTTAGTGATCTTTGCGATTATTAAATCAAATTCAGCAATAAATAAGAGGAACCTTCTGACGGTTATTTTAGTGACAACTGGATTCTTAGCATCCAGTCTTCCCTACTTCATTTATCAAATACCTGAGTCAGGAACAAAACAACAATATGACGAGATAGCTTGGGCGATATGTTTCTCATCTTCCTGGATCAACCCGTTCGTATATTTGTTAGTTAATCCTACCTTCAGAGAATTCGCAAAGAAGAAACTTCTGTGTTGGAAACAAAGATCGTCAGTTCGGCAGTGCCCCAGAACCAGCAACTAGCAAGGAGCAAATAGAGATGTAGCAGGGCAAGGTAACCAGACTGAATCCCTAACCGACCAAACCCCTACCGCTAAATAAATAATAGCTGGGTTAGGGTCGCAAAACTCCATAAGAAATTCAGAACCGTTGTATTGTTCAGAACATTATGCATGTCAGATGTTCTCCTGACAATATCCTAATATTGTGGTGAGATAGCGGGAACTGAACAGTGCCGATATCAGTACAGATACCCGTTAAGGGTTACTTAACGACGCGAGGGCTAACTAGGTTCCAAACCGCGAGAGAGACAAGAAAAAAAGAAAAAAAGGAAGAAAAAAAAGAAGGAATGTGTTCTAAATGAAGCTATGCATTTGTTCTCGACCGTGCTCTTCTTCAATCTGCATTAACAAAGTCTTCTCTCTTTACCATGATATAATACTTTTGCTTTATCAGAACTTAGTCGTTTTTCTATATCAGAGAGGCGTTTTATGAAATACTTTGTAGTTGGAGTGCTTCTGTAATTATTAGATTAGTTATTTTAGTGAGAGAACTATATCAAGCTATCATGTGATATGACACGAGATTATATTATTAATTATACGAATTAGATCAATAGGACTTATGTTAATGCAATTATTATTTCGATAATGTTTTGTTCAATACTATATACTAATTTACAAGTTGCTCCAACCTTATTGTTTTAGTTTTTCTAGGTGATAAGCATGGAATTTCACAAGTGATATATAAAACTTAGAAAGCAACGATTGTTTATACTATAGATACCTGTACCTTATAACCTTAGTCAACAATCACATCATCACGCTAAATGAGGAGGAGAAAAGAGTCTAAATGGATCAGTATTGTATTTAAATAGTTCAGTATGTTGAGTAAACTGAACAGTTCCTTAGCAAATTAGCACACCAAACACACATCACTAATAACTTCTTATATAAAATAATAAGGCATTAGTGATGTTAAAATAGCATAAAACAGATTTAAACAGTGGAATTGGACCAGGTGCAAAGAAATTATAAAGCTGCTAAAGTTCACGTTCGTATATAATGCTCAAGTTGACTCTAGTCTTTATTTGCAGATTAAACTGTTTTGTTGTTCGATGCTTTGTCTTAAAACCCACCCTCTTGTGGTAAACAAACTCTTTTGCTGGCACTATATAATCGCATGATAAAATTTAGCAGCTCTTTGAAACGCTTCGTGTTGTTAAATTCTCAAAATGTATCCAGCTTGAAGATCAAGACGACAGTCGTGATTAGATTCTTTGATTATAATTTAAAAATCAATAAATTTATAATTTACAGTTTTAGATGCAACTAACGCACACCTTATTGTATTTTATTAAAGAAGGTCCATACTTTTTCTATTAAATAGATGGTCAATAATACTTCACGATGATAAGTGTGAATTCTTACTAGCACATTTATAATGGTGTTTTGCGATACCAGATGGCATGCGATGGAATTTTTGTTATATATGCAACCATTGGTCATGATGAAAAACAGAATAAGGTTAAACAGTCGATTATTTTCAGGATTAGCAATAATGTTTTTCGAGCATATATTTCAGTTTATATGGGAACCGATCTGCTTTATTTTGGGCATTTTTGGAAATACAGTTTGTCCTTTATGCCACCATTGGTCACAGTGCCATAAAGCTGGACAAAATGTCAATCTGGATAATCAAGAACCTAGCAGTAGCGGATATTTGTAACTGTGTCTTGGTTCTGATGCCTATGATCCTCATTCAATATTGGAAACTGTTCCACGCTCAAGTCTTTGGGAGCACCTTCTATGACGTTTTTGGATGCTACCTGTTTACGTTCTTTGTGGCTAATCTTTTCCTTGTGAATGTCTTGTCTCTCAACAAGTTGATGAGATGTGTATTTCCTTTGAGGAACTTGGATACTACAAGACGTCAAAGAATCAGCGTAACTATATCTACGGTTTTGGTCAGCATAGTACCAGCACTCTAGATTGCGTACGGACTTCAAGATGGTTTTTTACACATCAGTCAACACTGGAGTGACAAATGGTATCTTGGAGCCTCAGAATTAGGCAATGCTTATGTGAGATATGAAGGACCTGATAAATTAGGCGACACAAGGGAGATTATTCATTTCACGATTATCAGCATTTTTAATGCACTACCTTGCGTTACATTAGTTGCTTTAAACACTGTTTTAGTGATCTTTGCGATCATTAAATCAAATTCAGCAATAAACATTAAGAGCTTGCTGGCAGTTGTTTTCGTAACGACCGGGTTCTTGATTTCAATTATTCCTTACTTTATCTCTGTTATGCCAATAATCGCAACACGACTGGCGTTCGACGAAGTAGCTTGGGCAATATGCTTTCTATCATCTTGGATTAATCCGTTTATATATTTGGTAGTCAACCCAACGTTCAGAGATTTCACTAAGAAGAAACTTCTGACTCTGTGTTGGAAACGAAGTTCATCAGTTCGGCAGTACCCTTGAACCAGCACAGGAACTATTAAAACGACGATATTTTGACAATAACAGTTCAACAATGTCCTTAAAACCATGAAAAACTTTTCATGCTCATGCTTGAAGATAGTCGGATTTGTAGAAGCAAAAGGAAGGTGAACAGATTATAAACAATGTTAAGACAGTGTCCAGCATTATTTGAATATTCCGAAGAGACTTTTACTAGTGATAATTTAGGTTGATTAAAATGTACCCTAATTCGTCAAATTTTCGAAGAATTTGTCCGCGGAATTTAAGATAGTTCATAATTACTCACAAGTTTAAGAGAAATGAGTTTGTCAGAAAGATGCTCGATTCCAGCCTTTACGTTGAGTAAGATTCTATCCATTCTTTCCAGTTTGAGTCTGCTATCAGTGGAATTTCCGTCACATTCCTCCAGTTTAGCCTGCATGTCCTCCAGGATTCTCTGTCCACTGGACAACTTGGCTTCTCCAGAGTACTTCATATTTTCAAATTCAGCTTGGAATTTGGCCTGGAGTTGAATGAAATCAGATATAGTCATGTATAGTATTTAAAACAGCGTTAAGGTCGCACTGAACTAATGAACTGTACTAGTTTCTCAGTTTACTGAGAGTCTTGGAGTAAAGGCATAATATTGCACGGTGAAGTGTCTGATAAGTTGCTGTAAAGGGAAAAGAAATGATGAACGTGCATTTTAATATATATTTTACCTTCTCCTCTCGGAGTCTGAGAAGAGTCTTCTCGTTATCGAACTTCAGTTTCTCGAGATGTTTCTGAGTCTCTCCTTGTAGCAGGAATCTTTGAACCACTTCCTGTAAGACAAATTGTGGAAAAGCCATTCCTACATTCCATCCAACGTTATTATTAAACTGATCGTGAGGAACTACTAGGACAAAAACAAGAAACAAAATATATGGAATATAAACGTTAAGTTATTTATTTCACGACACCGCGATACCTGAATATCAGAGACACCAGTAGCCTCCTTAATTTTGTGCATCGCCTCCTCGTATCCCATTATCTTCCTTTCCTGCTCCTCTCCAGAGATCAGTTTCTTTTCCTTGTCTACTCCAGCGACTTCCTCAGTGTGTATACTTGACCTCGCCATCTGTGAGAATATTAACTTGAGTTATATTTCTCAGAGTATTTGGTACACATTTCAATTCTAAGTCTAAAATCTTTCAATAAGACGTATAATTTATGTTCGAGATTCGACTTACCCTCTTTTCAACTTTCTCAGCATGGTTCTTCTTCTCGTCAGCTTGTTTTCTGTATTCGAACAGGGCCTTTTCCCTTTCCTTCTTGTCTTGTTGCAGTTTTCCATCCTGAAGAGAAATCAAAAGTTATCATAAAATAATCGAAGACTATTTACAGACAACAAGAGTAGACATATTGAGGTACAAGTTACAACTTCATGTAATCTAGGGCCCTAAATTTAGCAACAAACAAAAATAAAAACTCGAATGTACCTGGTATGTCAGCTCATCCTTGGCACTGTCCTTTGCAAGCTCAGCGTCCTTGTTCATTGACAAAATCTCCTGATACTCCTTCTTTTTGTTCTTTATCATCATTTGAAGTTTGTCAACATGGTTATCGAACTCCAAGCGTTCCTGTGTACAAATATTGACGCTTAATACTTGTAACTCTTTACAATTATAGGTAACAAGTCATTGTTACGTCTTTTTAGTGAGACTTTTTCAGGCAGCGAGTAAAAATCGAGGCCGAAGATTAAAATCGCAGCTTGATAAAAACCGCTTACATCTTGCAGTTTAGTTAAAATCTGTTTGTAGGTGTTGTTGATATGGTTAGCCTCGACACACTTGATGTTAGCCTTATCAAGGCGATTCTCCAGCACTCTCAGTGATTGTGCACCCTCACTCTCTCCTGCTGCACCCTGCTCTGCTACTCGTGCATCGTCCTTCATTTGCATCAGCTCTGTCTAAATATGGAACAAAATCTAGAGTATTAGGTTAGGATCTAGCTAGTCGAATTGATATTTGCGAAATATGTAGAGAACTTTCAAAAGAATCAAGATGTGATTTCAAAATAATATGAAGTAAACCTGGAGTTGCTGTATTTTCTTCTGTTTGGAATTAGCTCTGTGACAAAGAGCGTTATACTGTTTAATCAGCTCACACACTTTCTGGTCATACTTTGTTATCACCTTCTCCTGTGACAATTTTGGTGTAACACGAGAGAATTTAAGATATTTTAAATTTAAGAGGCCATTGATCCTCAATATCATAATTACAATAGAAGACTAATTCACTGTACATAATGAATGGCTAAATTTTAAAACTCTGGAACAACTTTAAGACAAACAATTAGAATTTATTGCTATTTCAACAGCATCTTCTATAGTTCCTTATACTTAATAATAATAATAATTTTTTAGGATGGCGTGTAGTTCGTGATGAACTCGCATGGTTGCTGCAACCAGACTATCTACCCCTACGCGAAGGATCGCTGTAGAACTGGACACCGTAATCCTTGTTACCAATTGCTCTTCTCGGCTTTGCTACTTGGAATGTTCGAGGTTTGACGAAGACAGACAAGCAGTGCTTGCTTGCTAACGACTGTGACAGGTATGACTTGGACATTATAGGGATTCAAGAGACTAAAATTTGTCAGTTTGAGGATAAGAAACTACCAGGAAATCATCGCCTCCTTTTGTTTGATCAGAAGACAGGACGTCATGGTGGACTGGGTTTCTTAATCAACGCTCGTGTAAATCATTATTTCCGTTCATTTCATCAGATCAGCGATCGAGTTGCTTTCATGGACTTTTTTATTCCATCCAAGTTTGTTAACAAACCACCATGCAAAATGCGAATCGTGAACTGTTACAGTCCAACCAACCCAAAAACTTTATCAAATCCGGCTGCTACTGACCAGTTTTACTGTGAGCTTCAGGAAGCAATTAATGTGCCTGCAAGACATGAAATCTGGATCCTAGGAGATTTCAATGCCAAACTTGGCAAAAGGTCTGATCATGACTTTCAAAATGGCCTTCATAAGAACACTGGAAGGCATGGCGTTGGAAGACGAAATGAAAATGGTGGGAGATTATTGGATTTTCTTGTTTCTAATGGTTTGTTTGCTGCAAACACTGCATTTCGTCATTCCAGTCGTCATATAACCACAAGAACTGGTTGGGTGAAAGACAAGAAGACCAAAAGAAGTCGCCCTTATTTTTCTCAGATTGATTATGTTTTATGCCGGTCACGCAGCACTGTTTTTCTCAATGATGCAAGGGCCTATGCAGGAGCTAAACTACATTCTGATCATAAGATTGTAAAAGCTACCATAGACCTGAGGCAGCAAACTAAGTTATACCGAAACAGTACATCAGCTGCTAAAAGGTACAACACGACATCGCTGGTTTGTAACAAGGAACTACAAGATCAGTACCAGCAAACTGTCACTCAGCAAATTGACAGTCTTCCACCTTCCGCTGACACTAAGACAGGATTCGAACAGCTGTTTGAAACTATCAAGTCTTCAGCCTCTAACACTGTGGGTGTCAAGAAGAAAACCCAAAGACATCATCATTCATCAGATCAGCATGTATGTAATATGTCTGACGAGAGACACAAACTTTTACAAGAACTGAACGACAATTCAGTTAGAGACAGGACAGTATTGAGAAAACGTATCAATAAACTCAAGAACGATATCAATAAACGTCTTAAAGTGCTAGAGACAGCTCTAGCCAACCAACTAGCTGACACCATCAACGCTGCAGATGACACGAAGAGGATGTTCGAGGCTACCAGAGCTCTTGCTGCCAACAAAGAGTCAGAGCCAATATCTGTCTTCAACTCTGAAAATCAGCTAGTTGCAAGTGACGATATGAAAGCAAGTATCATTAGAGAGTGGTTTAAAAATCACTACACCAGCTCAGACCCTCCTTTGGTACCTTTCACTGGACTCCCACGTCCTCTGAATACTCCTATAACTTCCTTAGAAGTCCAATATGCTGCTTCAAAGTTGAAAAATGGAAAAGCAGTAGGTCCTGATGAGATTCCTAACGAGCTGCTGAAGTACGCACCACCTGTATTCTTCCAGCAATATGCATGTCTCATTAATCGATCATTCGAAGTACATGAGCATGTACCCTCTTTCACGGAAGGGTTTCTAACCCCTCTTCAGAAGCCAGGGAAACCAAAAGGACCTCTAAAGAGCCTCAGACCTCTTTGCCTTCTGAATGGAACTAGGAAACTGCTCTCCTTGATTACTCTACACAGAATTCAAAGACAAATTGCAGAGTACACAGGACCATGGCAAAATGCCTACAAGGCTGGTCATAGTTGTGCCAATATTGTCTGGACTCAACGAATTCTGATTTCTGTTGTGAAAGAGAAGAGATGGGAGTTCCACAAGATGGGAATCGACATGAGCTCGGCCTTCGATACCATCAAGAGATCAGTTATCCTGGATCTTTTGGCTGATGCTGGTTGTTGTGAGGATGACATTCGTTTGGCGAGATACTTGCTCTCCAACACCAAATTGAGGATAAAAATCAACAACACCATTTCTTTAGAGTTTGAAACATCCGAGGGTTCGTTTCAAGGTGATGCTGCATCTGGTGCATTCTTCACACTGTACTTTGCTGGAGCTTTGTACCACTTCCGTGCAGTAGTGATTACCATTCGGCCTAACCCACCGTTCAACCCCGAGACCCTCATGCCTATTGAATGGGAATACGCCGACGATGGCGATTTTGCAGATGAGGATGAGGAAACTCTTAAAGAAATGCTACCCATATGTAAGGAGATCCTTGAAGAATGGAACCTGTTTGTGAACGAGGACAAAACAGAACATGTCCACTTCTACATTGCAGATAAGGACGAGGTAGACGCCAAGGGTGAACCCGTGAAGAACAGAGAGCCCTGGCGCAACACTATTTCTCTTGGATCCAAGCTCTGCAGTAAGGCTGATATCTCTCGCCGATGCATCCTTGCTTACGTTGCCTTTGAGAAATACAGCAAGGTATGGGCAGAGAAATCCCGCATTTCTCTTCCTGTAAAAATCAAGCTGTATGAAGCATTTGTTACCCCTGTTTTATTGTACAACTGTAACAGCTGGGCAGCTCCACAGAACATTATCAATAAAGTTGATGTGTGTCAACGCAAACATCTAAGACGTATCATCAACATGACCTATCCCCGCATCATCAGCAACAAGGACTTGTATGCTCGTTGCAATGTAACTCCACTTTCAGAGAGAGTTCATAAATCCCGCTGGAAAATGTTTGGGCACATTCTTCGTAGCGACTGCAACTCACCACCACAACTAGCTCTAAATTTTGCTGTTGATAGTATGTCAAATATGAGGGGAAGGATTGGTAGACATCAATGTAATATTTTTAAAACTATTTTAGACGATTTGAATAAAAGAAAGATTAATTTGAATAATAGTGACAACTTGACAGACTTAAGGTATTTAGCCTCGAACCGCCAATTGTGGAGAAATTTATTTTAAATTTGTTTGTTCGATAATTTCAGTTTTAAGTTCAATTTTTTGCATAATTTTTGATTTTGATAAGTTCAGTTTTAAGTTCCATTTTTTGTATTTATAGTAAGTTTTCAGTTCTACAAGTCTTTTAAGTAGACTTATCAGGTCTTTAGGATGTTCCTAGTAACTACTTTGGATTTGTGTAAAGTTTGATAATAACTTAATAAGTATTATTTCTTACATAAGTGGGGAGAATATTTATCAATAAATTGATGTATGTTATTTGACTTTATCTATTCGTTTATTTCAACAAATTTGCACAGCTTTAAAGTTTATTTGAGTCAAGAAAACCTGGCTAAGAATTCCACTTCTAACAAGAGAAACTTCATTTCGGCTTGAAGCGTTGAATGCACTCAAGATAACTTCCTCATCACCAGCCTGACCCTTAGCCACGGCTAGCTCTTGATGGAGCTTCTTGTTACTCATCCTCAGCTTTGCAATTGTGTCCTTGTTCTTGTTCATCGTTATTTCAGAACTCTCATAATAAGCTTTCTGGTCCCCATCTGTGAACAAGAAATATGTTAAGGCTAGGCCAGGTGTTAAGGTAACAGAATTATGGTATCTGACCTGATGTTTATATTCTTTTCGTAGTATGGTAAGCTTGAATTTGGGCTATTCATCATTAATATTAAACCTGTAAGCTGGAGCTTCTTCTTCAGATCTTCTATCTCCTCTGGATAGAAGCTGTGTTCTCCATGGCTCACTAAATTGAATAATTTCAAATTAGAGAGGGTTAAGTAACGTTGTGACAGCAGGATTATGTCCCAGCGGTCAATGAATGTTTTGAATCTGAATAATATGAGCTTTAACATTAGTCATCAAATGGAATTTCTAGTTACTGTGCTCCATAGTCAGCACTGTCTGCAAATAGGTGGACAATTTCAATTGTTAAGCCTCCTGAAGGCAGTGGTGTTACGTTGCATGTTGGCCAACCCCCCCAGCCTCCTGCCCAATAGAGGATGCGCCAGTAAAATCTCTAAAAAAGTATGTTACGCCACTGCCTGAAGGTTTTGTATAATTTGATCAGAGGGTCCAAGCAAGTGCGGAGCTTTGTCCCACCGGTGCAGTTACAAGCAGCATATGTGCAGGAAAGACTCCTGGAAAGTTTGGTACAATGTGCCCAACAGAACTAAAATTTGCAATGAGAGATGATAATTTTGTTCATCTTAGGGGGGGCACCAAATCGTCGTTTGAATATAGGCAATTTTGAAAAACTTAACTGAGGTACTAACAAAACTGCGCGTTTTGCTCTTGAAACACACTTTATTAGAAATTTTACTGGCGTATCCTCTAAAATCACCTAATTTGTCCTATTTTGCGTTTCTACTTTAAGAGGGGAGGGGCGCCAACATGTAGAGGGCCAGGGGCGCTTTTACAGTGAGGGGGAGGGGCGCCAACAGGCAACGTTATGCCATATATATGATTTATCCAAAAATAGGTATAATGTCTGGCTCAAAGAATCAAAAATCTACTATAAAAGGCACTATTATAAAATATTATTATGTTTTGAGAAAATTTCCTCATTTTAAAAAGGTCTGATTTGACAACACGATTTAAACGAGAGAGACTGACTCTAAAATTAATATAGCCAGTAAAAAAGATTCTACAAGATGGAAAACGTTGTTCAAGAAGGTCTCTAACCATGTATCTATCAAAGGACTCAGTGGTTCAACAAATAGCATCAAATATCTGATCATAGTATTAAAAAGTAGTTCAGTTCCTAGAAACCTTTTTGCCTGAAGTTAAAAATACATACCTAAAAAACACTTAGAAATGGGGATTGACCGGACACTTAGGTAATCAGGACGATCTCGTTGAAAATACGACGTATGTTATATTGTTGATTGTATTTGTATCACATCGTGACCCCCACGGTCGTTTCACTATAGCGTTTCACTGTAGAGTTTCAACGATACAGGGGGAGCCGCGCACTCGTGCACGGCTGGTCATACAACGTATGACAAAATTGTATCACCTTGCACGCCATTCCTTAGCAAGCTAGGTACCGGTAAATAGCGTGATGCACTTTTAAACTGCTTACCTCGAATAGTAAAACAAATTTTTTAGTAAAACAAATTTAAATTTTGGTATTTATTAATAACAATCAAAACATATCATATCATAGAAATAAAGCCGCGCGTTGGTTGACTGCCTCAGTATGGTGAATAATTTAAGCTTGAAGGTGCCCTGCGCATTTACAGAACATTATACGGCGATCACATGATCACGAGGACCTGTGAGCGCCAAATTTAATTTAAACTTTCTAGAAATCGTACATCACTACGAGTTACTCATGCTTTTGAATTATAGGAGTGCGGATTGTCATGTATTTCATTCATTCATACTTAATCGGTTTAAAGCTGTATATTTAGAGCTCACTATTGTTTGAACTATGAAAGCAGAACGTAAATAATGGACAATATACCGACGACAATACCAAGGACCCGAGTGCCGCATTGACTTTTCCGGATCCGTTTTTACCGAAGGCTTATCCACCAGTTACTCATGCTGCATGTATAGTCTGATAATATTTTGTTTTATCTCTAGCAAGCATTCTGTAAGTTGGAGTGTCGTATTATAGTGCGTTTTGCATGCTATCTTGATTCACGATGTCAATCCTTGGCAGCTCGGCGAGGCCCAGTGGTGCATTTCGCCGATCTACAGCAGTGCATCGCGCTACAACATGAACAGGCTGAGCGACGCTGCGCGCCCAGTAACGTAGGTGTAATTGAAAAAAAATTTTAAATAAAAAAAAGTAATTAAAAACAACAAATACATAATGTTAGATGATATTTCAGATCAAAATCAAAAAATTTTGTTTGACACAATTTTTGATTGCAATTGACAATATTAATTAATTTTAGCTTGTCACGGCCTAAACAGATGATACTTACCTAAATTTCGTCGAGGTAGCGACTAGCGTGCGCTGCTTTTTTCAAATATTGACCTAGACCTGAGGCTGGAGGCAAATGGAACGAAGTAGAACGCGCCGGGTCAGTCCATACTATATCATTAACAACGAACAATTATTTGTAGCGCGATGCGTTACTGTGCCGCGCCGCGCACTCAATGAGGCTTCTCACGGCGGGATGCGCTACTGTGCCGCGCCGAGCTGAGATGAATTGACATCGCCAATTAAAACAATTATGTGTTACAATCTTTATGGTAGCATGTTGTAGCGCGATGCACTACTGTGCCGCGCCGCGCATCAAATAATTCTTCTCGCCGATCTCGGTAGATCGGCGAGCTATGCACCTGATCAACATTGTGAATCACTTCAGCCTGTCATTCGATCAATTCCACCAAATATCCATTTATGATTAAGAACATAAATATAATAACTTGGGGTCCCCTGGTAACTTACCTGGCTCAATAAAATATTACCTCCAGATCAGTAAAATTAAAAGTGCTGGGAGAGCTGCATAGAGTCCACTACTATTCAATACTAGCCCCCCTTACCTGGGGATCGGACCCCAGGCTATTATGTTCATAAATAAAAATTCATGTTCGGCGGAATGACAGGCTGAGCGCCGCCCAGTAACAAATAACAGGTAACCTACGTTATTTGAATATCGAGTCTGCAATGTCAAATGTTGTTTTGTAATTATACAAACAAACACTAGAACGGCAACTTTGTTAAAAAAAAGTCGAATAACTTGCGGTACAAACTGGAAAATTGAAAATATTCAAACTATTTTTGTTTTTCTTGGTTCAATTAAATCAAAAATCATTATACAATTTTATTTTATGGAAAATATCAATTTATAAATTCAAAATTACAGGGTCATAAAACCAAACTGTAATTACAAAAATCTCCTTTATCCTTTGAAATAGTACTGAATTATTTTACACTACATACAATTGTAGTGCGATGCTGGATGCACTACTGTGTACTGGGCTGCGAATCAAATAATATTTCTTGCAACCACAAGAATGCTTCAGTAGATCGGCAAGATGCACCACTGGGCCTTGCTGAGCTGCGAAGGATTGACATCGTGAATCAATACATACAAGAAACGAAAAGAAGAATAAAAACGTTTATCAATAGTCTCGCAATATGAATAAGAATCATTTGAATCCCTTGGCCAGGACCAATCTGCACCAGAACCACAATAAAGCGGATATCAGTCAAAATATCGGGCAAAAGAGGCAAACAGCTTGCTAATTGTATCACGTGGTGACCCCCACTGTCGCTTCACTATAGTGAACCCCTGTAGAGTTTCGACGATACAGGGGGACAGAGATCTCCTTCCAAAATAAACTTTTGTTTTATTTTATACATTTACTCTAGTATAACATTTATTCTAGTACTTTGAAGTGTAGTAATTGTTTATATCTTTGATTTGATACCAAATTATAAATGACTATATTCGCACTCCTACCTGTCCAACCAACTTCATTCTCCAGGAAGACCAACACCCAGGATGAAGCCCGTCTGGACGTAGCAGCTGTTGGACTGTATGCACCATTCGAAAGAACATTCTTTGACATCAGGGTCACCCATCCTAATTGCGACTCCAATACATTTAAGCCACTAGATAAAATCTACAGTGCGCATGAGAAAGAGAAGAAAGATCTATATGAGCAGAGAGTACTTCAGTCAGAGAAAGGGTCCTTTGTCCCACAAGTCTTTACAACATCCGGAGGTATGGGCCCACTCTGCACTGTGTTTGTAGATCGTATTTCTGAAAGGATAGCTCACGGGTCCGTATTGCCTGATTTAAGTTACAGAAAAGCCAGCGGATGGCTAGCGGGCGCCTAACGGAGATGCACTAAAATGCAGCATTCATACCTAGCGAATGGCTAGCGGAGTATAGCGGACGCCGCGCTCAAACTAGCGGAGAATAGTACTAGCTTCATTAACACACCCGCTAGTTTCCGCTAGCTATCCGATATTGCCGCTAGGTCCGCTAGCTTTTCTTTAACTTAAATCTGCAAAATCGGCTATATACGGACCCGTGAGCTGACCACAATAAAGAAGCTAAGAGCCAGGTCAAAAATCACATCAGAACACGATTCAGGTTTGATCTGCTACGAAGCACACTCATAGCACTCAGGGGAATCAGAGGAAGACAAAAAGCCCAGCACCTTGGACTGGATGACGTATCCTTCAATCTCATTCCTCAGAAGACGAGCTTTGAGGTCTCTTAAGTTTGTTTATGTAAATTTTATAGATAATTTATTGTAGCTTTTGTAATGTGTAAAATTTTACGGACGAAATGATCCCAGGGGGGACTCCCAACCCACCGCCTCGGCGGGTAGTTGATACACCCTTCACAAGTAAGAGCCACTTTGGTCTACTTGCTGTGAGGTGTATCAGCTACATGGGTTGGGGGTCCCCCCTTTTTTTTTTTTTTTTTTTCTATTCGAAGTCGAAATTTTCTCAAAATCGACTTTTTAGTTGTTTCTGATAGAGGGGAAGTAATATCTATCAGAAGCTTTTAATCCGATAGAAAAATAATGTTCCTAGCAGAAATTATTGCTGGTCAAAGATCAGCGGGTGTGTGTAATTGTATTGCGCGAGCGATTTTTGATCGCATGCCCTGAAAATCGAGTCTAGAAATCTATCTTCTCCTACATGTTTTGAGCAATCATCCTGAAACATTCAGGATATGTTCTAGGGATCATTTAGAAGAGATGAGCCGAGTAGAATTTTGAGATAGGCCTTTAAAATTTTTGTATTCGATTTTGAAAATCGTGGACCTCGAAAAATCATCAAAAGACAAGGTCCAAGATTTTCTAAATCGAATAAAAAATTTTTAAAGGCCTATCTCAAAATTCTGCCCAGCTCATCTCTTCTAAATGATCCCTAGAACATATCATGAAAGTTTCAGGGTGATTGCTCGAAAAATGTAGGAGAAGATAGATTTTTAGACTCGATTTTCAGGGCATGCTATCAAAAATCGCTTGCGCAACACAATTACACACACGCGCTGAACTTTGACCAGCAATAATTTCGGCTAGAAACGATATTTTTTCACGGGATTAAAAGCATCTGATAGATATTACTCCCCTCTATCAGAAACAACTAAAAAGTCGATTTTGAGAAAATTTTCATGAAGACCCCCCTGCCCCCTTAAACACCTCTGTGTTAAAGACCACTCTTGAATGTTTGGATTATTTTATCCAAATTTTATTTTAGGGAACTATCTCTAAAACCATCGGAAAACATTAGAACCAATCCCCAGCCCTCAGAAAATTCCTTTTTTGAACCCCTACCATAGTGAAATTGATAAAAATGTGACAAAAGTGTTAAATTTTGTCCCTTGATTCTCCAGCCGAATATCTTAATCTTGTCCTGGCCCTCATTATTATTCTGATTAATTATAAAGATAGACACTTTCTAAGACAACTGAAGTAATACATCTGGCTAGATCTCTTCAAAAGATTAATACTGCTTTCACTATGTTATCTAACAGCATTACTTTTTCAGGATATGTTTATATAGTTACATGTCATTGGAAAACACTGATGTAGATTTTAATTTCAAATCTTGACTGATGTGGTATTTTCTATGTGTGTTCCTTCTTTGCCCCACAGTTGTTTTCACTGGTACCAAGTTGGAAGCAGAATGCAGTAAACTGCAGCTTCAATTTGCCACAGCCTCCTCTGACTTCACAACATGCCTTGGGAAGAACACCAAACCAGTCCGCATTTGTGTCACTTGTTTTCAAGATGTTAGTATCCTATTTATTTAATTAGTTCTAAATTCTTTGATTTTATTTTACATGTAGAGTTTTTAAGGGAAGCTTAAACCTGTTTTTAATTTCCCAAAGTCCACCTTGACAGGAATTTGTGTGCCTTCATCTGTGTATCAGATTCCCAGGAGATGAATCCGAGAACTTTTGAACCATGGTTTGTTTGCTGTATGTGTCGCTAAACTAAGTTAGAAAGGATTTGGCATAGTGGAGGGGCAATGAGCAGGTGTACTAACGTTTTAGGCAAAGTGCGAAATATTTCCCCCTGGTTCACGAAATGAGTGAAATGAACAAAAATGAACGAAAATAAACAAAAATGAACCTTGTCCCAGAATGCCCTGTTGGCTTCCATTGGTATTAATACTATGCGTCCCTGAAAAAGCTGGTCTAGCATGTTCAGTAATGCTTCTGGGGCAATGTTTCCATTTTCGTTTCAGAGTATCTGAAATTTTGGAAACATTTGAACCAACTTTTAAAGCATTATTTTTTGGCTGTATTTATCCCTGAACTGAATTGGAATTGATTTAAACCGTTTTCAGCTCATCTCAGAGGATTCTAGGATAATACTAATTTTCTGTTCATTTTGTTCATTTCATAAACCAGGGGGAATATTTTACATTTCTGAGTGGCTAAAAAAGTTAGTGTACTTGCCCCCATATCATACCAAATCGATTCCAACTCAGTCCAGGGATAAATATAGCCAAAAAAGGTTGTTTCAAAGTTGGTTTAATTCTGGTTCAATGTTTCCAAAATGTTTCGGATTCATGAATTCCAGATTTCAGAATTTCCCCACCAAAGATTAACTTGTGGCATTTTTTTCCTCTATAAATTTTACTCCCTTTAAAAACATTCTGCGAATTAAGCCACCTATATTACTCAAAATTGGTATAACAATTGAACACCTCATTGCTGATTTCTAGCAAGCCTATTTCTAGCAACCCCGGCCCCCCCACTATGAAAAATCCTGACTATGGCCATGCTGCAAATAGATTTTCGTAGGTTCCATGGGGCAGAATTAATGCTTCCAATATATATTACATTTGTTGCCACCTTGCAGCATATTCAGCTTTATGCTGCACTGCATTCATGAACAGTGCGTATACTTAATATCCTGATATTCTATCCTTGAGTTGTTTGAGGCCTTATATGAGATCTTCTAATCAAAGACTTTCGAAGAATTGTTCATCAAAATCTGTTATTTTATGAAGAGAGACCTGCTTTTAAAGAGATCATGAAGTGTAAATTTGCGAATTCTTCAAAAATACTTGAAACTTGGGTAGTGAGCTAGGCTTGGTAATTCTGCCGCAATCCCAAAATAGCTCCGTCGTAATTGCTTCACAAGCTGAGATAATATGGGGCATATCAATTACATTTTTCCAAGTTGCGCTAGGTGACAGGATAGCATATACGACATGTGTAAAAACACCTGATTTTATTCGTCCATAACTAGTTTTCTGTTGGTTATTTTTTTGAACCGACAAGATTACCATCAGGTATAAACCATTATATTTCACATATCTTCCTAAATTTGGTGTACAGCGATTAATCTAGTTCCTACAAGCAATTAAAGGCAGCCCACTTCATGGAACTTGAATGTAGCACGAAATCCTGGAATAACAGCTTAATTTTAATGCCATCATGTGCGGCTGTGTTTCAGCTATCTTTATGCACATTTTGCTGATATGCCAACGAAATTAACTTGCTCAAAAATTCAAAAAACATGGTTTTTTGGCATATTTTTGGCCCAAAAATCGGTTTTTTGCGATTTTGCCCGGGGAAACTCAGACTTATCATTTCAAAACCACGTTTAATCGATTCTACGGTCAAAAGTACGTCTAGAAAGATGTATGTGGAGTCCCTAACGTATCTGGTATCGAGCAGAAAATGCCCGTAAGAGCTTTTACTAGTAAATTTATAAGACAATTATTTGACGCTTGTGTATATTATGCACATTATAATACAACCACAATTTTCGAAAGATAAAAGTCAAATCTATCAAGTGTCGTTAATTTGAAGATTTTATCAATTAAATTGGCGCCACAGCACATGAATAAAAATGTGCATTTTAACACTGTTTCTATTGCGGTGTCTGACAGTTAGCCGCAATCTAACAAAATAGGGCGATCTTCCAGTATCGATTTCACGAGACATAATTAAGTTACGAATCTGGGAATTCCGAGCCCTATTCTTATACTAGTGTTTCTATGTGATAGTATATGTGAAATGTTTTGACGATTAAGTCGGGGACACTTCATGATCCCTTTAAAATCATATTTTTAGTGAACTCAAGGCACTTAACTATTTAAGAATGTCTGGACAATTTGCTGAGCCATATTGGGGCCAGGGGGTCATCAGCTGTCACCATTTGCTATTTGATCTAGAAATTCTCAATTTAAGCTCTCCAAAAATAGTTGGAAGGTGGCGATATTATTCTATTTTGGATTTTTATATGAGCTTCATTATATTTATGGATGGCAGGAATGTGTTTTTTTCTTCTAAAATTCACCACTTATACAAAAATAGCTATGATTCACCTCTCCCCACAGGAATTTTACTGTACAATTAAATTTTATTATCAATTGTGTAATTTTGTGGGATCATATTATATACCAGTACTTAATTCCTACGGCCTACCCCGATTAATCATTCTTCAGATTGTCTTGTTAGATCATTAGTGCAACAGCAAAAAACAAGTTGTTGCATTTTTTTCACAACATCTGCACGTTTAATCCAATCCACTAACACAGTTCCTTTATATTTCCAGTATCAGACTCTGAACAGCTCGTTCTACAACATAACAACCAGCACCAACTGCTCCGACGTACTGCTAGAGTCTGACAATGCCATGGTAATACGCCGACTGTGGGACTCCTATCACAACATGTGGACAAGCGCGCTCTGCAGCACTTGCTCTGGTCTCACGGAAAACAGAACACATGAGTTCAGAAACAGGGTATCTAATTTCAATCAATCCGTCTTTCTTGTCCACGTGATTTAAAGTGTGTTTATGGCTTCTTCCAACTGTTGGAATCCACGTGTTCGGCTTTTTTTTCACTTAAAAATTAGGAAATTTCCTTTATTTATCCTTCATTTATGAGTATTATGAAGGAGCAATAATTTGCAGACGGACGATGTTATACAGTGTTTTGATGAACACCAGACGACTCACAATGTAGACCTTATCTGTATCGAGTGTAACAAGCGATACGATGCCCTGTTAAACCTCTTTAAGGACCTCCAGGGAGCCGGTAAGATTTTGTTGGACAGTTGCAGATATTATGTGCGTGACACCGTACCCGTATCATATCATGTGCGTGAGCAGGTTCTTATCTCGATAATCGTATCATGACGTTATCGGAAAGCTTCTAGAAAGACATAATCTTTAATTTGAGATAAATCAGGAGTGATTAGTCATTCATATACTGTCGCCATCCTGCATCCAGATGTAGCAATATCACATTTCAGTGTGGTTAATTCTGTTTTGATTTTATTCTCACACTGGTGCGCTTAAACCATCCTCAATGTTACTGAGGTCGACCGGAATTTATGAAATGGGAGAGGCTAGGGTTTATCTCAGTTTCTTGGAATAATGATGGTTTGCTAACAGCTAAAATGGTTTTCCGTCCCATTAATACTAATTAAACCAAATAAGATCGAATAGCCCTGTAATAATTAGGTCCACAATTAGCAGGTTTCCACTTTTACTATACCTGCTTCTGGCATGATGCCAATGTGACAATTACTTTCCGGATACCGGCTAGATTTTAGACTAACGTTTGGGATTACTGATCAACAAATGTTTCGCATATATTATGTAGTACCACAGGTTATAATCCCCACAATGCTAAATCCTAATTACAAAATTCCAGTTGATTTCAGCCTTTGAACGATACTTTAACTGTAAACCGGTCAATTCTCAGAATTATCACAATTACTGTGAACACACTTATTTTTAACCAGACCTTTCCACTCTCCAGGGTTTGCGTGTGCGGACCTAGCAGATTCGATGAACAGCACAGCTCAAACGTGGAGTGTCAAATTTGGGTGTGGTCATCCTCCTGTCGAGTTCGTACCGGTTCTAGCTATGACTATTGGGGTCTCTCTCGTTCCTATTATTTTCTATTCTCTTATCTGGAAATTAACAGATTAACATCACGACACGTGACATCATCACGACTCTTGACGAGAGGGTCTTCTGCTTTCTACTTCATAGACGGGAACTGGGGTTTCCTTATCTTTCTCTTCATGTTTCAGGTTTTATTTTCTTCGATATAATGTTTAAGTTATTTTTGTTTTACGTTATCAGATTACATGCTAAATTTAAAATTTTACGTTTACCACGTCCGTGTTTTTCTTGAACTGGATTAAGCAGGAATAATTTTAACCGAGAAAATTGTTTTTAAAGTTTCAAGGCTCTGGCACTGAGAAGTGCTTATTTGTTTTGCACAAAGACTGATTTTATAACTAACATAGTAAGTTATATCTTTATGCTTTGATCACAAAGGACAACTCAATTTATGAGATTTTTATTACTCAAAAGAAAGGCTCAGCTCTATTTTTATAACTATTATTGAAATTTGATATGCTTTGAAAATAATCCAGCCCATCACGAAATATTGTCACAACTCAGAGAATTCTTAGAATTTTAAAATTTTATTTGTTAATCGCAACTTCTGGTTAACAGTTAATAAATGAGGTTATCCGATTAAGCAAAAGTAATTAAGTAAATTATAAGCTGCCGAATAACACCACGAATAATAACGAAGTTGTTCGTGACAATTCAGTCACTGCAAACTAGTTCGACGGTTGCGCTTGTGGTTCAAGATTTTAAGATTATTTGTATTTTGATTGAGTTAATAGTGGATTACGTTTGTAATAAATTAAGATTTTTATTATCGATGCAATTTAAAACATTGAGCTGGACTCGATTGCTTGAACTTGAAATTTATATCACTTTTCGTCAACCACTATTCAATTTACATGGATGATAATATCTTGATGTACAAATGTAATGTTTTATTAATTTTGTTTTGCTCCGATACCTAGCTCTGTTTCCAGTTATTTGTCTAAACATAAGAATCATACCCGTTATAGCCCGTCACGTGTCCAAGACACGCGGTAAAAGAACCAGAATTCTAGAAAGAACGGACACAAGTAATTTGCCTAATCTGTTTTTCATAATTTTCAAATTCTTCTCCCCGAAATTCTCGAATGCAGAGAAAGTACCGACCCCACGGCGGCCGCCAGATCCCTTTTTCTTGATACAATTATTACAATTGGTAGCCGGAATTAATTTATCCTGATCACATCAAGATCCCAAGTGTGAAGCTCACTGGCAACGACAATTCTGCGACTTCTCTCATCCCTCCCTCATTAGTTCCTGAAAGTTTCTGGCCCGGTATTATTTTCATCGTAATTACATCAAATTTATCCCATGATTCAATTAGGGCATTATTTATTCAGAAAATTCAATTTTTTTGAAACTCTGGGAAAGCTACTTGTTCAGCTGGTGGACAACAGATGAATATAATATAAAGATTTGATGATTATACTAGAACTGTAACATTATTTGTAACCATGACGACCATACATAAAATATACATAAAATATTTGATATCTGGGACTGAGAGAGAGAGAGATATAGCCCTTATTAGATTATCCTATCGCATGGCACATAATATTTAGTGAATTATTTCCCCATTCACTGTACACGTTTTAAATTTAGCCCTGTGTCGCCCTCCCTCTCTCTCTCCCTCTCTCTCTCTCTCTCTCTCTCTGCAGAAGAGGTTGAGTGAACCCTTGCTCCTTTGAAGAATGGCTGCCTGGCTGTGTGGCTGTGTGACTCGCCGCCTCAGCTTCTCCAGCCCTTCATGTTTCGCTTTGTCGATAGTTTAGTTTGGTGTAGTCTAAAATTTCCTAAATTTTACCGGCCGATCGATTAATTAGTGATGACGAATCGAGCGTGGACTGGATATTATTTCCGCTTCTCAACGATAACAATTACTCTTTATTTCTCCCTTATCATGGATGATTCCCCGAATCTGACCGCTAATCTGCCTACTGACTACTCGCTACAGTTAGCCCCACAGTGCACTACTATTGATTTCAAACTCCCTGTTTAATACCCTCTCGTTAGCTCCAATTAGAAGTAGCGTTTCTTAACTACTGCTCTCTGTAGGTGTGACCGTTTGAGTGGGTTGTCAGCTGGTAAAACTCCAGGCTACTTTTGCCGTCAGAACACGAAAGTGGACCTGAACTCTCCCAGGGCAACCGATGGCTGTGTTTTAATTATTTAGATACCGATCAACCATTACACGTATATTAGTACATACGGCACGGTTAATTGCTCTTTTGGATTGGTTGCCAACAGGTTGAACGGGGTACGAACCAATTTCGTGTTCTAAACTACCCTAATCTAATATTGTCCTAAAAATTTCGACAGTCCGACTATTGAATGGGTGTTTGACGGCATCCAACTCTCAGGTGCAAATTTGCCGTTTTAGTAACGGTGTTTTGACGGCAGATGTGGTTCACGGTTTAATTTTGTTTTATGCCGATAGGTCAGAATAATACGTCCTAATAATTGGGCAAGTATATTATTATCAACTATCGGCTATTTATTCCGACTAGTTTTATCTGTCGTGAGGTGGCGTTAGACTGTGTTGCAACTCAGAGCTCATTTATAAATATTACTTTAGTTTTGATTGGGCAGCCGATACACGGGTACTAGGTTCTTCTTCTAGGTTCTTCTAGAATAAGTAATACCCGCTTATGACACTGTACTGCTGACCCTCTTATAATCTACTTACAAATTGACGCTGAGCTTATCCTTAATTTGTGTTCTGGAGCCCGTTTTAACCATGTTATTGATCTGGCTGATGAACATTGAACATTTACAAACCACATGGAGCGTTATTTGGAGGAGCGTTTTATGTTTCGTCTTATCAATTTACTGAAATATTTGATAAAGATCTGCCCATACTTATCCGAGTCTTTAATCTACATAATATTAATTATGTTCCTGTAATCTATTCGGTATCAAGTAATACGTTGAATTACGGAATATTATTATCATTCGCTCCTTATCCCAGTCATTGATTTGTGCTCACGTGTTACTAATAGATTATATAGAACATGGTTCTGTTACTAGCCAGATAGTGGGTAGCCTGGTAGCTTGCTCAGCTCTCAGTGGGGGAGATCTTGTTTCAAAACTATAAATGTTTTTTGTTTTGGCGTTAGTTTAGAGTGATCAAATTAATTGTAGCAATTCGCCGACCGCCGTGTTGACACCATTTTTAGATGCTTTCTGGATCTTTCGAGATTATTCTAGTAATCTGCGATTTAAAAAAACAAAATCTTTGTATTAATACTGTACATTTAGTTGTGTGTAATTCTTTTCGTTTGTGCTATTCCACTAAATGAACCATTGATAAATTACTACCCCAAATGTACCCCATATTAAATTCGGGATATCATTCTATGAACTTTAGTTGTATAGTTACAATATTGTCTCTTTTAAAGTTTCAAATTCTTTAGAATTGTTTTCTATGATGTTGTGTATAGCACACTGTGCGTGAGGTTATTTAAAGAAATAATATAATGATATATAACTTAAACAAAAGGCATCCCCAATATCCACCAAATCAAAGTTAAGATATACATTTTCGGGACTTTATAGCTTTATATGAGAGACAGCTCATCCTATATTTTATTTGTAAGCCACTTCTCATAAGAAGTTTCATAATTTAGAACGTTCAGGAACTTTCAAAAAGAAAAAATCATTTTAAAGTTTTCCCGGCCCTTTACGTCTGCTCTAAGTTGTCTTGAACGAGGTAGAATTTATTGTCTTAAATTGTTAAGTTCCTTCTTTTGAATCTTTGTTGCATTATTAGTAAGAGTCCTGACATTGTCATTATAATTCCCTTTGATATCAATTGTTGATGATGAGAGAGCTGGATATAAATACCCAAATGTTTCATTTCATTTCACGTCTCCCTCAAATGTTTAACGTGATCTTTCAGACAACCCGGAGACTTATTATGAATACTTGAGTTTTTAGTAATATACCAAAGTGAAGTTTCATTGCTTCTTTTCTCCAGAATGCTCTACATTTAAATTTATTGAGTCTTCCGCCTTGGTCTTCTATTTGTTGAATAAAATACAGCTGTGTTATGCATATATAAATACGGCTATCCACTTTGCAATTTATTCGATAATCAGATATAACTACAGTTATCATTGGTAAATGAAACATAATTCTATGATTACCTTACCTTCCTATTATAAAATTTGTTTCCATAGACAAGTTGCCGATGTCGATGACAATTGGTACAATTTGCTTATAATTTCATTTGATAGGTAAGGGATCCTTTAGACCTTTATTTGTAAGTAACAGAACAGAACAGATCACTAGTGTACCAAGTTTTGGTACCTGTAACCTGTGTTAAACACGTACATGTGAACAGTTTTATATGTCTACGGTGCCGAAATTTTGTAACACAAATTTATGGTGTAGTCCTCTTAGTACAGTAAACATTAGAGTCTCACTCAATATTTCTGTTTATTATGATCCACTATCTCAAGATCCACCTCCGTCCCCTATATACCGCAATGTTTCAGTTCTAACTAATCATTCAGTTCTAACTAATTTATTTATATGTCTACGGTGCCGAAATTTTGTAACACAAAATCGAGTACTCCTCTTTGTACAGTTAACATCAGAGTCTCACTCAATAACACTTATTTAACCATTTTATGTCTAAATATATGATATTAATATTATATAAATAATTTATATATTACCTCAAGATCCCACTATCTCAAGATCCCACCCCTCAAGATTCCGCCCCCATCTATATTATAGTATACTAAAAACCCGCTAGTGGAAAGCTTTGTTCGGGGAAATATTAAAATTCAGTTTTGTTTTCATTGCTCTTCATCATCTAGCTCTGTAGTCTGTACTGTAGAAAGTATGGATTTTATTTGACAATAACGACAACGTTGTAAATATTTGGATTTTCCCTAAACGATACTTTTTATAATCTTGCTAAAAATCGCGAGGTTTCAACTCCATTTGCGAGCTTAAATTGGTCACAACGAAGGGGTATTTTTTTGGTCAATTTTCAGTGTTTTTTCTTCAATGTCCCCGTTGCCAGGGGGATTTCGTCAAGTTTAAAATATAGTATAGATACTTACTTTAATGTATCAGTTCTAACTAATCTCAATTCTCAACTGTCACACTTTTCCAAGTCTCGACTGGTATCTTTCAGCTTTATACCTCAGATCTTATTATCCGCTTTAGTTTACTCTGTTGTAATTGCTAACTTCCGAACAAGTTCCCAGTGAAGTAGTCGAGTTTAAAACTGTCAGCAGTATATTATATTCGCTATTCCACAGAAGTTGTGGCCCTCAGGATTCTATACACCAACTACTGAAACAAGGGTAGAATAATAGTATATAGGATAGAATAATATAATATACAATACGATGTACTCATGTGAGTCGGTATGAATAGATACAGTAGTTACTAGTTACGCTAGGTCGATAGGTTATTGACTTACTAGATAGTGAACTGTAATTATATCTTTATATGTGTTATCCGCTTTTATAACAATATGTTAGGATACGTTTTCTGTTCTAGATAATTAATGCACTGTGGTGAGGTATATCTAAGCATTTTCGCGGGGATTGTTTTAAAAAGTTTCTTCGTCAACGGTGAAAAAGTTGTTGCATAGCTTAGATTTCATTGATCGTATTGTCCGACCTAAGCAGTAAGCTATAGGCTTGCTTATAAAGTGAGCCACGTAAACTTAATCACAAGTATTTAGTTTTCACGTTATATCACGTTATATCAATTAAGAAATCCGAAGAAACGGGCCACTTTCTTATTCCCCGACTTGAATCCCAAATTAATCGTCGATAATACTTTTAACTATCTAACTCAAGGGGTTAGCTTGCGTGAAGAGAATAGTCACTCTCGGGAAATCAAATAAAGGGCATGATCTCTGATCTAACTGAACCCAAACTTAATCATGAACACTTACTA